ATATCAAATTAAGCAAGTAGCTATATCATTAATTGACAGTGAGATTGACAAAGTAAATATTATATTGGGACGGTAGTTTCATTAAGCGTAACCAATCTCACAAAAACTGCACCATATTATAGTCAGTCAGTAATTTATATATGTTATATTACAGGCGTATTATGTTAAAATTGAATTATAATTACAACAAAACTAAATTATTACTTACATATAAGATAAAGAAAAGCTCTAAGGAAATCCTCAAAATAACCTTTCCTCTCAAGATATTCATTTACTTATACCCCGGAATGTTTACTTTTTTTTTTAATTTTATATACATTCCGGGTTTAAGTGAATAGATTCCTTGAGGGGGAAGGTGGTGTTCAGTATTACCTTAGTTTTTAAATTTTTATAGGTATATAATAATTACTAACTGACTATATGGTGCAGTTTCCATCAGATTTGTTACACCCAATGGCACTATCGTCCCAATATAATATTTACTTTGTCAATCTTACTCTCAATTAATATAATATATTTTTGCTTAATTTGTCATTATTTATTATCATTTTATTGTGTTTCAGTTGTTCACTGTTTGTTTTATGTTGATTTAGTTTGTGGTTTTTAACATAAATAAGATTAACGTACTGTGGAGCCTGACGATGGGACCAAATATTGCAAGCCTTGAAACCGGTGGCCCAAAACTTACCATCATTAAATAATGTAAGTATTGACTCATTACCAATATACTGGTATTATGGATTCACATTGGCGATATTTTTATCACAATAAAAAAGTTATTAACAATATACAAAAACATTTACACGTTTCTTGTTGGATTTTTACGCGTATCACCATATTTTAATACCATTAAAACCTTAATGTGTTCTTACTCAGATATACAATCTATTGTGACTTTAAATAAACACCAAGAATAATAATTTATTGAAATGTCCAAGTTAATATTCTAATATTTTCAATGTGAAGTATCAAAGTCATACAATAAAAATTGATAATGATCAAAAGTAAATTTGGGCGGCATTATGTGTACTGATGACCAAGATTACTATTAATTTAAAAAAATATACCTTTAAAGCAATGCTTCCCAAATGGTGTGTCGTGACGCCCTGGGGCGTCGCTGCATTGTCCCATGGGTATCGCGTGTCAGCGCGGACTTTTAATACAGAAAATATATAGAGTGAGTACCATTCGCATTCTGTTTCACCGGTCGGCTCCTCTCCCCCGTATTCCCTACTGTCAAGCGTGTTATGTCATTTAGTCAAGCTTTCGTTTTTGTGTTATTATGCACGCAGAGTTTTTTGCTATCAACAATGGATAGTTATATCCAAAAGAATAGAAAACGAAGTGGAGAATCAAGCGATAGCAGTAATGTTAATTTAAGTAAAAAGAAGAAATATAGGAAATATAACGACCAATATTTAAATTTTGGATCTATCTGCGTTAATAAAGGGAATGTAGAACTTCCACAATGTTTTGTTTGTCCCAAAGTGTTGGAGGCTGAAAGAAGGCTTCCTAATAAGTGTTGCAGTTTCGCAACTGTGTCTAAACATTTGTAATGTATTAAGAGACTTTTTGATAGTTTCTATTCTCTCCGTATATTTAAACTGAGATTTGCATTCACAAATTCACAGCGGTTTCCATATGCCACATGTGTTTTTAAAGTCAAAATGAGAGTCGAGTTTTATCTTTCAAACGATACAGATATGTATGTGTTTTTGGGTTAAAAGTACCTGACACTCGGCATCGGTCATGTGACCGAGAAAGACGTTAATTAAAATGTGCATTATCAAATTTGTGGTTCCTGTTGTTCGTCAGTGAAGACATCTTTTGCAATAGCCGTGGTGCTCTGATAGAATAGATATTGGTAAAGTACAATACACCATTTATCTATGTTACTGCATATATCAAGTACGTTACTTGGTCTATAGATTTTCTTATTTGCTTAGAACAATTGGAATATTTTCAGGCTCTTCAGGATGACCCCAATTGTTATATTGAGGTCATCGTATGTGCAGAACGCAGCAATAAGTTAAAACGCCATTTGGAATCAACTCACAGTCATTTACAAAACAAGTCAAGAGACTTTTTTGTGAGAAAATTGCAAGAGCTAAAACGTCAGACCACGGCTTTGGTTTTAAGAGCATCAATTCCTGCCAAAGCATTGCTCGCCTCTTCCATGGTAGATTACTGTGTTGTCAAATGTAAAGTACCACATACAATCGTTAAGAAACTGATCTTATCTGCAACAATTGATATGATAACAATATTGATTGAAAAATGGGATGCAAAAAAAAAATGAAACATTTACCTCTTTCAAACAATACGTATTCACGATATGGCAGAAAATAATAATGAGCAAATTGTGGCATAACTTTAAAGCTTATTTGCCATTAACCTGGACCAGGAGACTGATAGTAATGATGATGTTCAATTGATATGTTGTAGCGTTTTTTTATTTAAAGTGTATAGAAAAGTTTCTGTGGTACGTCCCTGTTGTTTTGGCCAAGAAATCGATCGATTTAATATAACTACGGAGAAGTTAAATGTAAATATTTCAAGTTTTTTTGACTAGATTTCTAAAATGCGTAGTAACACTGGATATATTTTTTGTCTGTGTTTAGATTCAAATATCGAACCTTTTGTTATAAGTCAGGTAAAACTCAACTTTAAAATACGCACGTATTTTGTTAATTTGTATTATGTAAATTTATGATGCCCCCTGATAAAAAAAAGGTTTTATTTGTTTTCTTCGTTTAAAAACGAAATAAACATGAATTCCCCTAATATTATAGTTGTTTTTCGTTATTGGACGAAGGTCAAAAAAAAGAATATTTGTTTGTTTAGGCAATAAAGGAACATTTAAAAGTTGGGTTTTTTTGTCGATACGAGCGAGGGGATATTGTTTTGGTTCTTGAGTTTGTGGGGACAGGTTAGCTGAAAGACGGAAGGGAAATTTTTGGCGAGATTCTTGTAAAATGTAACGAAGCAAGAGAGTGGACATTTAAGTTCCAAGCAGGGCAGACGTGCTACAATGTAGAGTGGAAGAAAAGATTCGAATGGAGAAGACGTTTTGATTTGTCGGTAAAGAGACCGGCAAAATTGGTTGAGAATATTAGACTCTATGTAATATGTCAGTTTAGAAAAGAGTCACCACTATTTCTATTTTTTTCTTTGGAGTACATTAGAAGATTTGTATAGATACCGTTTTAAAAAGTATTATATAGGATGTCCCTTAGCTTTGTTGTCGTTTTTCTTGTTTGATACAACTCATCTACGTCAGATCGGCGTTCCAAATTATGGAGATGGTCTTCTTTTGTTCCTGAGTATGGAAATGGTTCCCCTTGTTCGAGAGTTTCGTCCTTGCAGTTTCAGTACCAGAGATGTAGCAAGTTTCAAGTTTAAATGCGAAATATGTAAATTTTAAGGTAACAATTCAATATATTAATTTTTCAAAGTAAAGACATATTTTTTGGCTAAAGTAATAATTGCTTTCATTCTTTGTCATCAAAATTAAATGTGATACCTGACAGCAAGTTTAATTTGTTTTTTTGTTATGACAATTTTAATTTGATTATTATGTAGAAACGATATTTCATATATAAGGTTAAATTTATATGTTTTCATTAAGAAGGATCCTTAATTTTTGATAATCTAATTGGCCATAATATAGTAAACAAAGAACATGTAAGTTTTTGTTATTTGTATTATGTTATACGATATGTTTCTTTTATAATATGTATTTTTGATCTGTTTTGTTTGAGACAAAAATAAATGTTTAATTTGTTTCTCTGATCTATTTTGAGTTTTATTTGAAAAAGATATTTTTTTCTATATTTTTGATGTTATACAATTATTTCCCTAGTTACAACTAGTGGTTGTAATAGGTATAATTGGGCACCTCAAGTGGCGCCCTATATTAAATTTCTTGAGGTGTTTCCGTTTATTTTCATTCTGTTTGTCCCAAGAGATTTGTATAAGTACCCCTTTATTTCTTTTTTTGTAGTTGCCCCAATCTAACCCCCAATATCTTCAACTTATCCACGACCCAGCTCTCCAACAACCAACTGAGTGTCGTATGCACTTGTTTCGATTATTTTGTTTGCCCAATCTTGTCCCCCATATTCTTACCCTGTGGTAAGCAAAATAGTCGTTACAATGTTATGTACGGTAGGTACAGGAAATATATGTGGGAAACAAATATTTAATATTTTGCAGAAAAATATGTAAAAGTTGAAAAGCTACCGTTTTATTCGTGATTTTAAACTCATATATGACTAAAAATAATATTAAGTGGGATGACTGGGTCATAAAACCTTTCCTGTTATCCACGCCATCGACTTTTTCAACAGAGGAAGAATACCCACTGACAGAATTCCCCTGTGATTCCAGCCTAAAGCTTTGATACAACAAGAACAGACTGTTTGAATTTTGAAACTCACTTTCTCGTGAATATCATGCCATCAGCACTGCTGCATTAAAGGTTTTATTGCCATTTGCGACTTTGTACTTGTACAAAACGGGATTTTCTATAGTTGCAGTAATTAAAAACAAGTACAGGTCACAAATGAACTTAGAAAAATAAATAAGAGTGGCAATTTCTAAACTGGAGCCCCAGTTTTAAAAGCTAAGCTCAAAAAAGCATGCACATCCCTCACATTAACCAGCTCTTATAAATAAACATCCCTATTCGTTTTTGTGCCTATGTTTTGATTTCGTTCTTAATTTCAAATAAAAAATATGAATGTCCAAATAATGTTTTTGTTATAACTATAACCTGTTCCTAGGCTAGTACTAAAATTGGCAAGTACTATTGGGGGTTGGGTGTGGGCGTCGCGAAAAAATAGCAAAGTCCCACGGGCCTCACAGTACGAATAAGTTCGGAAAGCCCTGCTATAAAGTATTCAGTTCCAGATCTAAATATTCGCCACTTAGTTTTATATAAATCAACGTTTTGTAAAACTCTATTAAAAATATTTATTATTAATTATTTTTAATTTTAGCATTCAGAACAAATCACTAAAGTAAGAAAATTAATACAATCATTTAATTATGAAGATGACGAGACTGAAAAATTAATATCGGAAACCCGAACACTTATAGCAACAACAAAAGCAGAAATGGTCTCATTACAAAATACTGCAGGGATTTTAATGGAAAATAATATACAGATTCTAGAAAGAAATATTCAAAACCTATCAGGTAAAGAAACAATATTTGATAATCATTTAATGTTAATAACTAATTTACTCATAATTTTAAAGGTGAGGATATATTTGCATTAGATAATATCGCACCCTCAGTGCAAGACTGCAGTAAGTCAGAATAAGTAAGTTTCGAGATAAAGACGATTTTGTTTATTTTTGTGCTAATATCGGTGAAATAAGACACAAGTTTTAAGCAAAATTAACATTCAATTATGATTTTGCATGCTTTTCAGCCTATATTACATTAACCAAAAATAGAAATGTAAATAAAATAATATTAATTCCAAAATAATAGGAATTGCAAAGTTATAACACTTTTGCACGGAGAAAATTGTTAATCACTACACATTTAGTATTATAATTTTAAACTTACAACACTTTTGCACGGAGAAAATTGTGAAAAGTGAAGTCACATTTTCTGTTAGCTGTTGTGCTCTTCTCGTATATCATCTTGGGCCAAAAAGTAAAAAAAAAATAATCCACAGCAGCATACAGGGTTTAGTATAGTATTAAACTTTACATTTAATAGATTCCAAAAAATCAGATAAAATAAATAGGTAATAAAAACTGCTTATCGCTAACGCCAATTTATTCTTTCTATCTCTGCACATGTTTCTGATAGCCACAATTCCTTGGCTTTGTAATGACAACGTCATAACAAGGTAGAAAAATTATCAGTAAAACTTCCAATATTTTTATTTAAATTCAAAACAAAACGACTATAATAAAAATATGCAAATCAGTCTACCTTGAGTACAGTAAATAACAAAAGGATTGAAGTTCACTACCTTAGTAAAAGTTGGGAATTACTGTAGGACAATATGATAAGACAATCGCCCCGGAAGGTTACATGAAAATTTAATACAATTTGGGATTTAGTTTTTATAGAACAAGTTTTCTGAGAATAAATATTTTCAATCTGTCAGTATTGTTAATACACAAAGATAACTGTTTTTCCTTTAATAAGAAAAAATACTTTTTGGTTGTAAATAATTAGCGTTAATTTATGTGTTTTTAATCCAATCTAAAAAATAAATGGTGAAACGACATCGCACACATTTTATGAAAAATATAATGTCACACAAAGGACATAAAACTTACATGAATATATTGGTCTTGTAAATCTTTGTTTATTATCTCGGTCGTTAATGGATTACGTAAACATGTATATTAAAATTAAACACTACAGATATAGATAAAAAAGTAACAAACATCTTACTTTTTTCGTGCCTTTCACTGCTTGTTATCAAAACTATTTTTTGCAATGTTCCATGCAAAACTGTTGTAACTCTGTTACATTAGAATTGCACGAAAGAAGAAGAAGTTTTGCACGAAACTTATGTACAAAAACACAAAATAGTTAAACTGTTGTTTATTTAGCCTGTTGTTGTTGTTGTTGTTAGCTGTAATATTTAGCCGGTTAAGTATTTAAAAATTACTAAAGTTTTACAGGGGATACATATCTATATTTACAATAGAATTCTATGATTACTTAATTTTTATAAAATTTTGGGTTACTGCAGTCTTGCACTGAGTATGTGATATGAGAATTATTGAAAAACTTAGAGACATATAAAACATTATTTAATTTTAAACTAAGTAATACCACAGTAAAAAAATGTTAACCTTTAGTATTAGAGAAACCTTACTCAACAGTGCACATTAATTTCAACTTCCAAAACTTCTCGTAAAACATTGCAAAGCATTGCTGTATTACTTTTTGTTCCAACGAGAACTAAATACCCTCCCGTTGGCATAGTGCGGCAATTGTTCTTTGATTACTGAATTTTAAATATATGATATAAATGCATAATAAAATTTAATTTAAGTTTATGATTTTGACTTATGTCTCTGCAGTCCCATTTAATGGATGATTGGACGCATTTTATGCTCTTGGCCAATGATGAAAGGAGATTATTTGCTAGATCAGCAGATGTGTATCATTCCATTTAAATTTCTTTTGCAAGTTTTCTTTCTATAAAATCGGCAAGGCCACCAGAGCGAAGCTAAATATGCTTTAAAGGCAAGCATATACAGAAGGCAGAAACGATGCCAGGAAGCAGGGAAAATGATACCGGGATCAAATAAGCTAATGAGAGATATAATAAACAATCATCTACAGTTGGAAATAATATCAGATGCAATGCAACCTAAATATAATTTTAAAAGCAGCTTACCGTCATCTTATCACCATACCGATGGACAAAACGTAGAGTGGAGACCAAGGCAAGAAGCAATACGGAGCAGATGACGCCCACCAACTAGATATAAGGACGACCTGAAGCGTGGGACCAATAACTGGATGCAAGCCGCACAAGACAGAGATAGGTGAAAAGAGCTGAGGAAGACCTATGTCCAGCAGTGGACGCATACAGGTTGATGATGATTCTGAGCGTCATCTTTCCAGAAATAGAAGAATGAGAGTCGAAAAAAATGAATCTCATAATGGTAGATGCTGATATACAGACGGCTTTAAAGCATATAAAGGGATTACAGCTAGAATATACATAAGCAAACCAAGGTCAAGCCTTAGTAAAACCGAGATAATCACACCACTTTCTTTCAAGTAGAAATTTGTTCTATATAGATGTGTTTGTAGAAATTAATAATGATATGTGGATGTGTTGATAGGAATCTAGAGGAATAGAACTATTAAAAATGGATTACTATTAAACTGGGAATAAGCCACAATTAAAGATACAAATACGTTTATTGACGTTTCAATTGTCGGAAATCGTTCTCAAAATATAAACAGTAAATTTACTGTTTGTATTTTGAGAACGATTTCCGAACAGTAAATTTACTGTTTGTATTTTGAGAACGATTTCCGAAGTGGAAATGAAACGTCAATAAACGTATTTTTATCTTTAATTGTGGTTTATTCCCAGTTTAATAGTAATTAATTTACAATGCCACAAGAAAATAGCTTCAGAACAATATTAAAAATTATATGAGAGTAAAACGGCTTGCGAAACGTTTTAATTTAAATACAATTGATAATTAAGAAACTCACTAACCTAGAAACCGAAATAAAAGTAAAAGAATAACTTGAAAGAAAATAAACGACATTAACGGGAACACGTCGGAGATGGGATAAATCGAGGAAAGCAATGCAAACAACATGCGCGACTCTATTAAAGCGTTACAGACAAAAGCAGAAAGAACGGATGTCTGATGAGATAGTGGATATGATTGATAAAAGACGTAAATTCAAGAATAAAAATGCAGAAAAGTCTAAGCAGGTCCACAAAATCATAAGAACAAAATTTTGAGAAGCCAAAGAAAAATAGAGTTTTCCAACGAATGCAGGGAAATAGAACAATACGAACAAAAATACGACAGTTGCAATATGCATAAAAAAATAAAATTAATGACAAACAAGAGAAAATTCAATAAGTCATCCAAGAGCATAAAATATAGCGATGGAAATTTTATCTCGGAGCCATTAACGATCTTAGAAACATAGAAATCATACATAGAAAAATTATTTGCATCTGACAGGACTGATGATCGCCTATATGGAGAAGTAGAAACAGGACCTTCAATCCTTAAATCGGATATAGAAGATGCCATTGCAGCACTAAAAGTAATAAGTCAGCAGGTCAGGACAATGTACCCTGTGAAATATTAAAGATCCTATGTAAATCAGACAAACAGTTCCTTGATAATCTAGTTGTACTTTTTAACAACATAATAAAAGCGGTAATATTCCAGAGAACTGGCTGCAGTCAACATTTATTACAATCCCGAAGAAACCAAATCCCCAGATCTGTGATGACTACCGGCTTATAAGCTTGATCAATCATGTCACTAAAGCGGTCACTAAGATCATTCATAGAAGAATATATGATAAATGTGAGTCAAATATTGATAGATCGCAGTTTGGTTTTCGGAAAGCACTTGGAACTAGAGAAGCAGTTTTCGCTCTCTTGGTGCTTACACAGCGGTGTAAAGCATTTGACAATGTCAACCATGAAAAATTAATAGATATTCTGCGAAAGATAGGTATTGACGACAAGGACATTTGAATTGTGGTAAACATATACTGGGTTCAAACAGCAAGAGCAAAAATTGATGACGAACTCACTGGAAGTGTGCCGATCAAAAGAAGTCTCCGTCAGGGGTGTATCTGATCCCCATCCTATTCAATATTTATTCCGAGGAAATATTTAACATATATATAGAAAACGCAAATGAGTGCATAAAAATAAACGGCGAGTTAAACGAACAATACAAGATATGCCGACGACACGGTGATCCTTGGCAGTACCGTAGACGAATAACAATAGGTAATGGAAAGAGTTTATTCAGTTAGTGAGGAATACGGCCTGAGCCTTAACTTCAAGAAGACAAAGTGGATGCTGATAAGCAAAAAGCAACAACCTCCTCGACAATTACGGATAAGTAACATACTAATTGACCATGTAAAATCTTACGTGTACCTTGGTACCAACGTAAATGCAAAATGGAAACAGGCCACAGAAATTAAGGCGATAATAGAACGAGCTAGAGCAGCATTTAACAATATGAAAAAGCTACTCATTAGCAAGTATTTGTCTCTTCCCCTAAAACTACGTCTAGTTAAATGCTGCATTTTTTCAATCTTTCTATATGGTGTGAAGGCCTGGACTCTGACAGAGACACTTACGAGAAAACTAGAAGCATTTGAAATGTGGGTGGACCGAACATGTCACCAACATAAAGGTAATCCAAGGAATCGGAAAGGAGAAAGAAATCGTGAGCACAAGTAAACAAAGAAAGCCTGAATATCTAGGCCACATATTGAAACACGATAAGCACCGTCTACTGCAATTGATTGTCCAGGGGAAAATAGACAGTAAGCCAGCGCCGGGCAGGAGAAGACACTCGTGGCTCAAAAATCTAAGGAAGAAGTGGTTCGGGCTCACATCGGTCGAACTATTCAGAAGCGCCGCAAACAAGATCAGTATTGCCACGTTAATAGCCAACGTTCGCAATGGACAGGGCATTTGAAGAAAAAGAAAAAAAAATATATTGGATAGCCAGGTGGCTGTAGAGGCACTGGAATTAAATCGAATGATCCAAAGTTAGTTTGGAATTGACTTCAGTGTCTGATTCAAAACAATAAGACTAAACTGAGGCATCGAGTAGTAAAGATGTGTTTTATTCTCAATCAGCTACTTAATATTGGAAATAACCTTACCTATCACAACAATGACGTGGACAACATATACCCTCTTATTGAAGACACAATAATAAATATTTAATCTAAAGAAGCACCTATATAATCATGGACGATTTTAACGCTAAGGTAAGAGAAACAAGATATGATAACATCCAAAATGAAGGAAACTATGGGTTAGGTATTGGGAAGAGCCAAGGCGAACGTGGAACGTAGATTTTGCAACCGAACACAGTTTGGCCATTGTAAACTTAATGTTCAGACATCATGCCTGTCGTTTATCGACGTGAATTAGCCCAAATGGAGAATACAAGAACAAAATCGACTACATGTTGATTAGAAACAGATGGAAGACATGTTTTACAAATGTAAAAACTAGACCAAGAGCTGAATGTGGATCCGATCATAAATTGTTATGGGCTTGCTTCAAGATGAAGCTAAAAATAACAACGGCGCACCAAAATCAAAACAGGCTGGACGTTTCAAATCCGAAAATATTGATAGATGCATTAAAGTTGAACACATAAGACAAACCATAAGAAATGTGTAAAGGTTTCAGAAATGCCATAGAAACCTCTGTAGAAAGAACCCAAAAAAAAGTCAAGAGAAAACACTGGATCACAGACAGAACGCTGCAACTTTTTGCAAGGTTAAATAGAAAAATTAAAAGAGCATGTAGCGATGATAAAAATAAACATATAAATGAAGAATGCGAAGAACTAGAGAGACATGCAAACCGGTATGAATCCCATGAGCTATATGACAAAGTCTGATATCTATCCAGGGAATTTAAACCAATCACACAAATAATAGTTGATGAAAATCAACAAAATTATAAATGACAAAAAAGAGGTTGCGGATATATGGAGAAAATATTGTCAAGGTCTATATGCAGATGATCCCAGAATGCAAATCACGACGAGTTCACTACAAACATTCTAAAGTCAGAGGTAGAAAAAGCAATCAAATAGTTAAAAAATGTAAAATCTCCAGACGCAGACCACATCACCGCAGAAGTTCTAAAAGATACCGGAGATATTGGAGTAAATGTTATGCAGATGATCTGAAAAAATATTTGGGAAACCGGAGAGTGGCCCAACGACTGGACAACATCCACTTTCATCCCTATATTTCAAAAAAGAACTCCGCTAGATTGCAGCATATAGTCATAGCCTGTGACGTCACATGATACCAACACAAAATATTTAGGGTGTAGGTGTGTTCTTTTTTAGAATCAGTTTACGGAGTACACTGGCATTACAGCCACTAGACATATTTTATTATATACGCGTAGAAATAATATTTAAAAATTTCTATTAATGTTAACTTAAAGAAATACAAAATAATATGTTTCATTTAATTTGTATAAATGCATTATAAAGCGTTTTTATCGAGAACATTTGTTCGGAACACACTGTAACTGTAATCGAACGAAGGTAAAATTTTGGCATATATTGGTAACACTTATTTGACAGTTGGGGTGTTGACACTTTTTATACTTCATTACTTTGAATTTTAAAGTGAATATCTCTTGTTTTATATTTTTAACTATTTAGTAAAATCTGTTTTTTAGAACAAAATTAGTGTGTTTTATTTCAAAAATGTCACGCCGCTACGCGGCTTGCGCGCAACTTTTTTACTTGCATGTAATAAGCTTCTTACAACTCTCGTTATGTAATATACTATTAACGAGACAATATTCTTTTGAAATACTCCACTTTATATAATTTAAATAATAATTATAAGATAATTTGTTTATTTGTGATTTAAATATAATTTAGGATTAAAGACAAAAGTAGTATCATCTAGATGAAACATGAACGTCCGATTTTTTTGAGAAAATGAGAAAGAGAGGAAATAATCTCGTTTAATTATTATTGATTACTAATACCGATCATTCTGAAATATTAGGTGTACAGAATATTAATACAAATCATGACCATTTTTATTCAGAAATGTTTAATAATGTAAATTATAAAAAAAAATTATAAATGATTTTTAAATATTTGTTTTTAGATTATTCTAACAATCGTACTTCTGACCTAATTGTTTTCTTAAAAAATGAGATTGATTTAGCTGTGAGCAACAAAAGAGCTACGGACCCTGTCAAAGAAGAATGTTTACTAGTCTATGATTATTTAAGCACATTACAAACAAGCTTTGAGAAACGGCTTGAGGTAAGATCTTCTTAAATTATTTAAATAGGTATATATAGGTATATATACGTATATATACATACATATATATATATATATACATATATATATATATATATATATATATATATATATATATATATATATATATATATAAATAGGTATATATACATATATACCTACATACATATATATACAGAGTGGCCCAAAAGTCTAGAAACGGCCAATTATCTCGTAAATTACTAGACGTGATTATACAAATTTTGAGATACGCCTATTTTGGGATACGGAGATTCCATATTTGGTATTTGCAATGTTGCCATATTTCAGTTTCTCTTATATTATTAGTAAGTTAGGTTTTTCAAATGCATCACCCTGTATATTCAGTCATTATTGGAATCTTCTATTAAATACGAGTTCAACCATATGTAACACTTATGATTTTATGTAGTCTGGAAGGTCTTAAATATATAAAACAGAAGTCTGGCAACGCCTAAATTGTTTCAATACATTTTTTAATACCAAATATTTTCAAATACATTAAAACGTAACAATTGATAGTTTAGAATATTTTTTAACATAACAGTTACGTTAAGTGTTCAAAATATGCTCCATTGATTGGTAAAATTGAAAATTATTAAAATTTCGTTAAGAGAATATGTTTTTCCGATGAAGCAACTTTTACACTGTGTGGAAGTGTAAATCGACACAATTTAAGGTACTGGTGTGACGTAAATTCACACTGAAGACTGAATGCGTGAAAACCATACTCAAAGACCACAAAAATTAAATGTATGGTCAGATATAGTAGTTACTTAATCAATTGGGTCATTTTTAGTATCTCAAATAGGCGTATCTCAAATTTTGTATAATTATGTCTAGTAATTTACGTGAATTAATGTTAGATAAACATAATAAAAATGTACACTTTTTTAAAAATATTTTAGTTTCTGACGAATCTTCATTTTGATTACATAAAAATACAAACCATCCGTTGCAAGCTATTATTCTCGAAAAATAAGCACCTCAGTTTTTTACCTTGTATAATAAGTAAAGCTCCATAGCATGTATCTAACGAAACACTTCACAGTGATCTGGACATCCCAATACTTAAGGGCATAATAAAGAATCGCTCTTTAAAAGGATTTTCAGGACTTACATACGATTCCTTTGAGATAAATATCTCTGTTTAACCTAATTTATTGCCACTGTTTCAGATATAAAAATTAAAATAGCAATATTCGCACTATTTATAAACATTGACAAATAGACGATGGTCACAGCGTTTTAAAAAGACTACGGTCCAGTTTCGAATTTGCGACCAATTAAAAAGATAACCGTAACATTTTTAAGAAATCCATCAAATTTCTAATTGTTATTTTTTACGACTTCTTACATTCGTAAATTATTCTGTAAAATCTTATACTTACATTCCAAAAGTTTGCAAATAAAAAGTGGTTTTCTATATATTTTTTTTTTTTGTTCTATGTGGCAAGACCATTTCAATTGAAATATTGAATATGATATATGAGTTAACCGACAAGATTTAGTTCAAAGGTTAAGGTTTTTAAAATTCTTTTAGAAAATATATTTTAATTTTTAGGTTTCTCTTACAACTGCTATACGTAATGCCAACCTAACCGTACGCAAGGATTTTGAATCCATGGATATTAGATTATTAGAACTGGTTACATTAAACAGGACTTTGGATATTTGCGAAGAGGTCAGCGCATGCGTATTAGAAGTTTCACAAAAAGTCGTAGACTATAATACAGAGTTCATTGCAGAATTTACTGATATTAATACCAGAATGAGTAGTGTACCTCAGGATGCTCTTAATGCAGCTATTCTTAATGCCAACTCCAGCGTTAACGAAGACGAAAATTATGCCTGCAATTCAGCCATAATCATGATGTCATGTGTAGAAAGTTTCGACAACAATACAACTGATACAACAACGACATGGTTGCCATCAAACCTACCTTCAACTACGTCACCAATTTCTACGATCACTTCAACCTACGGACCATCAACCGATACAACCATGAGTACTTCTTCGGAGATTTCTCCAAGCTACGAGTCAACTACTATAGATGTTACAACTGTCGGACCAAATCCTATATATACTAAATGTAGACTAAATAACTATACATTCTAATGTATACTTTAACCATGTAACATTTTAAATCTCAATAAAAATTTATAAAAATTTATTAAAAATTTGTAGCTAGAAATTTGTAGCTAGTCTGTACGAGATCATATTATTTCATATAAAGGATTCATTGACACGATAATGTATTATCGACAATGACTTATATATGGGTATAATAAATAATTAAAACGTGACCATATATATATATATATATATATATATATATATATATATAATATATATATATATATATATATCTATATATATATAAAAATATATATATATATATATCTATATATATAAATATATATATATATATATATATATATATATATATATATATATATATATATATATATATATATATATATATATATATATATATATATATATATCTATGTAAAATAAATACTAGAAATACTGGATATTATTGACTGTCGATATAAACAAACAACATAGTTTATTAGGGTTGCAGTCAGAATATTGGCCAGGATGTTAAAAAAAAACACTCTTTTCGACTTTTTATCGAGCTTTCGGAATGGTTTTATTCCTTTTTCAAGACAGTGTAAAAGACAGTTATGTAAATATTTAAAAAATATCACAATTTTTCAGCTTTTACTTACTAGTCGTTGAGATTATTTTTGTAAGCATTGACACTCAACATTTATATAACACATTAAAATATACAATTATGGACATAATACATTATAAAATTTTTAAAATTTATTGTAAAAATAGTAAAACTTGGTTGATGGCATGTTTTACTGGTGTATATAAACTCATACAGAGAATGGAAAGTAAAAACACTGTAATTAATATGTAATTAGGTGTAATTGATGTTATCTTTCTTTTCAAGAAATACTAGAGGCCCTTCTTAGGTGACTATACTTTTTAAACCTGTTTTAATGGTACGCAACATATTATACATAAAGGTGTAAGAAACAGGATATACAGAAAAAGGATGAAAAACTTCATCTAAGATGAAAACAAATTTGGTTTTGGCTTTAAAAACTAGGGTTATCAATTTGTCACACATAGAATTTAGAGACAAGGGACAAAAAAAGTTGAGATCCATACTACAAGAGAATTCTTATCGAATAGGGCTGTTAAATAAACTCATTTTCGATTCTCCTTTTTCTTCACAAGTTTCTGTCAACCAAAATTTTCATAACAATGAGATCCAACAATTGACATTGACACATAACGCATCAATATTACCATCTAAAATAACTTATGGTTGCCTACCCTACATTCCATTTCTGACACCTAAGCTAATGAACATCTTTAAAAATGTTAGTGGCTTAAAAATTACAACCAAAAATGTGAAAACAGTATCGAAGCTTTACACAAAAACAAAAGATCCTTTCACAATACAGGAGTCATCGAATGTTGTTTATTCTATACCGGGTACTAACTGTAATAAAATTTACATAGGAGAATCATCTCGTAATTTTCACAGCAGGGTGATATCACATCGTAGTGATATAAAAACCAAAAAAATCAATGCATGTGCATTGACGGAACATGCACTAACTCTAAAACATGAATTCAATTTCGATGATTCCTGTATGTTGGCAAAAGAAAAAAACCATTCAAAACGTGTTTTTTTGGAAATGTGTTTCATAAAATCTAGCACATCTTGCATCAGCAAAAAGTCCGACATAGACAAATTAAGCAACATTTATTGTTATTTGCTGGAAAAACACCAAAAATAAACTAAATATTTACCTGTACATAAATTACAACTCTAAAGTATAGTCACATAAAAAGGGCCTCTAGTATTTCTTGAAAAGAAAGATAACATCAACTACACCTAAATACATATTAATTACAGTGTTTTTACTTTACATTCTCTGTATGAGTTAATATACACCAGTAAAACATGCCATCAACCAAGTTTTACTATTTTTACAATAAATTTTAAAAATTTTATAATGTATTATGTCCATAATTCTATATTTTAATGTGTAGTATAAATGTTGAGTGTCAATGCTTACAAAATTAATCTCAACGACTAGTAAGTTACACTGAAGAAGTGCGATATTTTTTAAATATTTACATAATTGTCTTTTACAGTGTCTTAAAAAAGTAATAAAACCATTCCGAAAGCTCGACAAAAAGTCAAAAAGAGTGTTTTTTTAACATCCCGGCCAATATTCTGACTGCAACCCTAATAAACTGTGTTGTTTGTATATATAAATAAATAAATAAATAAATATAATATATATATAATATATATATATATATATATATAATATATATATATATATATATATATATATATATATATATATATATATAATATATAATATATATATATATATATATATATATCGCACCCTCAGTGCAAGACTGCAGTAAGTCAGAATAAGTAAGTTTCGAGATAAAGACGATTTTGTTTATTTTCGTGCTAATATCGCTCAAATAAGGCACAAGTTTTATAAAAAATTATCATTTATTTATGATTTTGCATGCTTTTCAGCCTATATTACAATAACCAAAAATAGAAATTTAAATAAAATAATATTCATGCTAAAAAAAAATTGGAATTTCAAAGTTACAACACTTTTGCATGGAGAAAATTGTTAATCACTACACATTTAGTATTAGAATTTTAAAGTTACAACACTTTTGCACGGAAAGAATTGTAAAAAGTGTAGACACATTTTCTGTTAGTTGTTGTCCTCTTCTCGTATATCATCTTGGGCCAAATTATTTTTATAAAAACTATGGTGGGCTTCTGGCATCATACCCGAATGGCAATAAATCATCGGGTAAGTAAAGAAAAAATAATCCCCAACAACAATCGGGGTTTAATATGCTATTAAACTTTACATTTAATAGATTCCAAGAAATCATATGGCTACCCAGAATAAATAGGTAACTAATAAAACGGCTTATCGCTAGCTGCAACTTAATCTTTTTATGTCTGCACGTGTTTCTGATAGCTACAATTCCTTGGCTTTGTAATGACATAATAGGGTAGATAAATTATTTGTAAAACTTTCAATATTTTTATTTAAATTTAAAACAAAAGTACTAATAAAAATATGCAAATCAGGCTACATTGAGTACAGTGATTAACAAATGGATAGAAATTCACTACCTTAGTAAAAGTTACGGGGGACAATATGATAAGACAATCGCCCCGGAAGGTTACATGAAGATTTAATACAATTTGGAATTTAGTTTTTATAGAACAAGTTTTCTGAGAATATATATTTTTAACCTGTCAGTATTGTGAATAAACAAGTTCTAAGATAACTGTTTTTCCTTTCATAAGAAAAAGTACTTTTTGGCTGTAAATAATTGTTCTTAATTCATGTGTTTTTAATGCAATCTAATCTTTATTGTCTAGGTTGCTAATTGATTACATAAACACGCTGTATATTAAAATTAAATTAAAATTAAACACCACAACAGATATAAGTATTAAAATAACAAATATCTTACTTTTTTCGTGCATTTCATTGCTTGTTATCGAAACCATTGCAATGTTCCGTGCAAAACTGTTGTAACTCTGTTACATTAGAGTTACAACAGTTTTGCACGGAACTTATGTACAAAAACGTAAAAAAGTTAAACTGTTGTTGTTGTAATATTTAGCCGGTTAAGCATTTGAAAGTTACTAAAGTTTTACAGGGGATAGATATGCATGTTTACAATCGAATTCCATGATTACTTCATTTTCATAAAATTTTGAGTTACTGCAGTCTTGCACTGAGGGTGCGATATATATATATATATTTATATATATATATATATATAAATATTTATATATATATATATATATATATATATATATATATATATATAATATATATATATATATATATATATATATATATATATATATATATATATATATATATATATATATATATATATATAGTCATGTTTTCAACAACGAACCATCCAAAATGTAAAATTGTCTAGATCAGTCCCCTTTAACCTAATAACACGAAATTGTACGAGTATCAGAAACACATATTTGTAATCTATTACAAGTAATTTGATTATCAATAAATATTAATGTTTTTGAGTTAATATGGTTTTCTTCTGTTAAGTGTCTTTGGTTCATTGTGTCCCACGTGTGGTACACACTGAACTAGTGCTGCGTACACATTGAACCAAACTACTTTATTTTAAACATAGCTAATAAAAATTAGATTTACAGAAACTGTAGTAAGATTTCAAATTTTTATTGTTTAAAAGCACAAGAATAGTTGAAAAGAACAATAAAACTAAAGATAAGTATAATTCCTATCTGACATTTAATAAAGAAAAAGAGAATGTAAACGCAAATTAGAATTATTGTCGTTTATCCTGCCACATAGTTTTGGTCTCGGCAAAATATATTTCACATCTTTCTTGTTGACGGAAGCTATATTAGGAACATTGGGCATAACAAACTCCTCACTACATTTATCCTGAAGTCTTAAAAATGATATGCAATATTCCCGATCTTGTTTTATCTGTAATATTTTCCCCACAAAATATACCACTGACTTTGGTGGATGAAATTCGACGACGACATAATCTTCTACGTTAGGGTTAAAACCTAGGGTACTAAACAAATTTGGATTCAAAATAGGTAGATCTTGTTCATACTCTCCACTATATTTAATGTATATAAAGTATAAGATAATCCTTTTCTCCCATTCTATATCCTCTCCTTTTTTAACTTTCTTTATGATTTCATCCATTATCAGATTAAATATTAATGGGCTCAGCGAATCTCCGTGTCTAATGCCAGTTTCATATTTGATAGATTGCTATAGTTTTTCTTTACAACTTACCATAGCTATGTTATCTATATATATATATATATATATATATATATATATATATATATATATATATATATATATATATATATATATATATATATATATATATATATATATATATATTCTCAATGGTTTTTACTAAATCCAGTGATATTCCCTTTTCGTATAATAAATGTATCGCGTCCCGAATTCTCACTCTATCAAACGTTTACTTCAAATCTATTAGACACATAATATGCTGGTTTGTTGTATTCCAGCGACTTTTCTTTT